CCGATGCGGGACTCGATCCCGGGACTCCAGGATCATGACCTGAGCCGAAGGCAGTCGCTTAACCAACTGAGCCACCCAGGCGCCCAAATTCTCTCTTTTTAATAAGGACTCCAGTCCTGTTGGATTTAGGGCCCATGTCATTCCTGTTTGTGACCTTACCTTAATTCGCAGAGACCCTACTTCCAAATAAGGCCACGTTCCCAGGTTCTGGATGGACACTATTGATTGGGGGGCAGAGGGGAGACATGACACTATTCAACCCAGTAGACTGTCCCCAGAAACCTGGCTCAGTTTCCTCCTCCTAAAATGCGGAACACGTGAGTGCTGTGGAAGGTGCTTCTCATTTCTTACTGAAGTCACTGTTAGAGGCTCCATGCAGTTGGTAAGGATGGTTACGATGTACGAGAGCACTGCCCGCGTGGTGTAAGGATCGCCCCCATTCTTGGAGAATGTCTCGTGTTCCCGCAGCTGCCCCATGGCTCCACTGAGCTGACAGGTGGAGCCCGGCGCTTGCTCACCTGGAGGATAGCTGGTTCTGTGGGCTGCGGTGGGCTGTCGCTGTGGGACGGCTGCGAATGTGCCCACCAGTTGCTTGCGCAGCGAGGTAGACCCTAGCTTCAGTGATTTTTACTGGGGGATCTCTGTTGTGGCAGCGTTTGTTATAACAGAGAGTGTAGGTGCGATGATAAACATCTACATTAATTGAGCATAAATACGGACTTTCCAAAACTTGCCAGATATTAAACATTTAAAAAGTAAACTTTTTTTCTAAAAAAGCTATGTAATTTAGTAGAATGCCCCAGTCAATTGAATTTTTATGTAGTCTCAACTTATGAGAGTAAATTGTTGATTTGCTTTTTTAAATTTGTAGCTAAACCATTTACACAGCTGGTGAAGGAGATGCAGCTTCATCGAGAAGACTTCGAAATCATTAAAGTGATCGGAAGAGGGGCTTTTGGAGAGGTAAGATAAACTTCATTGTGCTGACTTTGCCTAACGGCCACAACAGCATTTTTAGGACCCGGTGCGCTGATCTGGGGAGGGGGTCATTATTGGGATCGTTGGGAGAGTGGTGCTTGGCGGGCAGAGTCTGAAAGAATTAAGAGAAAAAGAAGAAGCTTGTGACAGGTGAGTTGCCCTGAATATTGTTTCTTAGAGACAAAGAAGTCTATTAAAAATCCATTTGTGAATTGAAAAATAGCTCTGTGGTCCTTTCCCAGAGTGCAGGGAGGGCGAGGCAGTGGCCCTTCTCCCCGTGGGCGGCTCGCCTGCCGTCAGAGCCCGGGCCGCTCACGAGCACGGCCCTCTGCACTGCCCTCCCGACCTCCGCTCGCCTCAGGCGTGCCGGCCTCGCTGCCCTGGGCCGGACAGCCGACCCCGGAGGCCATGGCCTCTGCCCCGGGCGCCTTGCTTGGCGTCATGCCCCCGCCAGGGAGGCCCAGGTCCCCGCAGCGGACCAGGATCAGGCACCTTTACAGTGCGCCTCTTCGACTTTGAAACGCCTCTGCATAGACCTGCCTTTAGCTCGGGCTGGGGGAGCCCGTGTCGGGGGGCTTCCGAGGAGAAGCAGTGACACGCGGCCCCAGCGCAGCAGCTGACGTGCTCTGCCTGCCGGTGAGCCCGCCTGCCGTGACCGCACAGCTACGAAATGCGGTGTGGGGTTGGCTGTGTGGGGCGCACATTTCCCACTGTGTGCCGGACAAGGAACAAAGCAGTGAGTTCACCGGGCGGCCGCTTTGCTCTCAGGTGCCTCCTCTGCCTGCTGAGTTGAACAAGGCCTGTGATCTGTCTTAGAAAACATGTCAGTATTTTTGACGATTCTTCTGCTACAAGCACCTGATGGTACCCCTACTGCATCTGCTTCGGTAGAATGCACAGAAAGGAAGTACTCCTCCAAAAATGCTTTATAAATAGTCGAGGGAGAAAGCCCTGGCCTCCCCGAGCGAGTGTGGACAGTTGTGTGTCGTGCCCTCGTTTCTCCCTTGGAAACTGCTCTGGCCTCTGATCACACCCCAGCCGTGCTCTCCGCCACCCCGCGCTGGCTTCATGCCACCCCTCCCTGGGCCCCGTGGCCTGGGCTCCTCATATCACCGGCTCCCTCGTCTAGCTCCTCCCGCCTCCCAGCCTTTCTGCGTCCCGTCTGGGCTCCCTGCACGTGCTCGCCAGCCCTCCCCTGCCAGGACGAGAATTTTGGACTCTTAACAGTACTACCATTACATGGCACTCTGTGGTAATGAGGTGTTATTGCCGTTGCCTCCCTGGGATATTCCTGTCATCATGTACCTGAAGTGTGCCCAGTTTCAGTGACAGCACTGAGCGGATCACAGAAATGAGGACTCTGTCAATGCTGGGACCGTCTTTATGAAGAACACATATGGTTCTAACTGAACTATTTTTTCCTAATGACACGCCAGGGGAGCTTGTCTGGGGGGGTCTGCAGTGGAGCCCGGGTATGTGGACCGATAGCACTGAGATCATGGGACGTGCCGCTCCGGAGCCCCCTCCCAGAGAGAACGTGGACGGTCCAGAACTCCACGTCCCGTGATGAGAGCATATGAAACTGGTAGCTCAGAAGTGCACACACCCCCCCTCCCACCACTACTCAGGCAAAGTTGAGAGAAACGTTTCTGGATGATTCCATAAACAAGATTGGGAATATTTGTGGTATTGCCCTTTTCCTTGAGCAGAATGGCTTTGGAAACACTTTCCTCTCAGGATCGTGGGGACAGCTGGTCTAGGAAGTGCTCTCATCAGTGTGGGAGCACTGACACCTTCTAGGCCGTGCCTGAACACCGCTCCACCAGGAGGATGAGAAACTGAGGCCCATGGGCCCAGAATGGCTTGTGCTGGAGCTGGACTTGAATCCCGCCTGTGAGAGGTAGATGTGAGCACCAGCGGGCGCGTAGGAAGGCTGTGGGGACGGAGCCCTCGGACACAGGGAGGAAGGCTTGGGAGCAATGAGTAGATTTTTAAGGTTTTTCTGATGAAAATCCCAGGCATGCCCCGAAGAAGAGGACGGTGAACCCCCCTGTGCACCCATTGCTCACTGCTGAAGGTTTTGAACTGAGCGAGTCAGGTGCCAGGTGCAGCATGGCTAACATCAAGTCTTGATGCTTAAAAGGGCAAATCTTTGTTTACGTAAAAAACTCTTCTTTCCTCAGCAGCTCATTTTCCAGCGTTTCATTTCCCCCAGGCAATTAAGATTTCACTGTAGTTATATGAAAATGTGCTGGCCTTTTGTTCCATTAACTACATTGTTGTTAAACTCCTGTTCGTATTCCAGGTTGCTGTTGTCAAAATGAAGAACACTGAACGAATCTACGCCATGAAAATCCTCAACAAGTGGGAAATGCTGAAAAGAGCAGAGGTAAGCGTGGAGTGGTGACTAATCAACAGTTGAACTGGGGTTTATGTGAGAGGAAAGAGGCCACGACACCACGTGGGGTCCAGACCACAGCCCTCCCAGATCTGGGCCTCCCTCCTTGACCCAAGTGAACTGCTTTTTGTCACCACGACTTCAGCCCCGTCCTGGCTGTCCGCTGCACTGCGGAGCCCCTCCCCCGCCAGGGCTGTTTACTGGAAGGGAACATTAAAGCCTTCACAGAAATTTTAGGCATTTATCTCAGTTCTGCTTCATGCGCAAAAGGCATTATTGAATTTGGAGCCTACTTAAGTACAGAAATGTCTTTAATGCTCCCTCCTAGAGGGAGGATGAGAATTGTAAGTAGATGTTTCAGATGCGTTTTTCCTGAGTGCTGTGTCCATGTCTGGGGAGCCTATTTCACGCTCCTGGCCCTGACGGAGACAGGTGAGGCTGCGGAGCGAGCCCGAGCTTTTCCTCTGGTGCTGCCCACACTCGCCCCCCGGTCTGTCCTCACCAGCCATGCTCTGTGCCCCTCTGCTTCGCCTCGGGCTCCATCACTTACCCTGTGTCCTCTCGCTGGACTGCCCAGGCCCAACACCCTCCACACACCTGTGGCAGCATCCAGCCTCACCAATTCCCCCCATCCACGCCGCCCCTGCTGCGTCCCAGCTGTGAAGCAAGCTCACCCTGGGACTGCATGCCCCCAGGATCGGCCACCTCCTCCTCTGGGAACTCCTTCCCTGGTTTCTGGCCTCCCTCATCCTGTCACTCTGAACCTTCCTTGTAATTTTAGGTGGCCCTTCCCCCTGTGTTCTCTAATTCTTACCTGGGCTGATCCTGCCACCTTGGGCAGATCACAGTACAGATGTTTATTCTGGTCAGATCCCTCTCCTGAGCTCAGGTTGTCGTTAACTAGGTGGATGGGCATGCTCACTCAGCATCTTGAGCTCATCACGTCTTGTCACTTGCGGCTTCTTCTGCTTCCCCGTGTGTACCCCCGTTCCTGCCGTGCGCCCACATAAGGCCTCACCCTGGATTGCCCAGCGAATGCATCACCATTGTGCGGTCACCTGGGCTCCAGATACCTTCCTCACCTGGTGCCCAGCAGCCCTTCTTCGCACCACTGGTGCTCCGGTTGTCACAGGAATGCCACTGAAGTGACTCTTCCGTGGGGAACAAAGCAGCTAGTGTTCCATAAAACTTTGAGGGAATAAATGCTAGTAGCAAATTCATTCAAGTTTATATTTTTATAGGAGTGAGAAGTCTCAAGATTAGGGAGAGGTGATTCTCACCTTATCATACTAGTTAGTATTTACCCAAATGTCATGGTGAGTACATTTTAAAATTATGGAATTTTGAAATTTAAATCTGGTTACAGAGATCCTAATTGGCATACTCTGAAAAGTCCAAGAATTATTATGATTATATATGATTTATGATGATAATTATGATTATCTCAGAATATATGTAATGGGGTATGTGTGTGTGATGGTACAAAAACATAATATTGATATAAAATGCTGGTTACAGTAATTCATTTTTTTATTCTTATTTAGTAAGCCTATATTGAACATTTTATATTAACTTCTAAAAATCTTTAAACACGTGAAGTCAACAAGAGGGGGCAGTACAGAAGTTGCAAAGCCATGTGAATTCATAACTTGTGGATCGTGCTGGGCTTTTAGCTCGTAAAAAAAAAAGTCCTGAAACTTTGCTCTGAAAATAAAACAAAACTGCTGAATAATACGTATATTTCCTGTCTGTGGGTCACTATGCTGCTGATCCTCAGTGTAAGAATGGCTTTCATTCTAAACGTGGATAGGTAGACGCTTGAGAACGCGGAGCGTCTTGTGGCCGCCCTGCACCAGGCCCTGTGGTCTTGGTGGCCACTGGCTGAGGGGCCTCAGGGGCTCCGGGACCTCTGGTCTCTGCACAACTGGACAGTGTAAGCTGATTGCTGGCCCATTCGAGTTATTTTCTCTGCTTTTAATTAGTAGAATCGGGGCACATCTACTTCAGTCATCTTTTTGAAAGAAAAACTTGAGAAAACAAGTTTAGAACAAAGCTTATAGGAAACAAGTTCTACAGGCCACTGTGAGTCTCCTGAGAGAACAGGTAGAATTCTCCAGTGCCTGGCAGGGCGGGGCCCCTGTTAGTGCCACTCTCATTTTTGTGAAGCTTTGCAAGTTTCAAAGACAAGAAGGAGTTAAAATGTTCTGTGCTCAATAAAGAGAACGTTTTATTATAATTTTGCCAGAGAACCTGGGCATTTTAAATACAGGGGCCACCTATGTAGTAAACTTCTTGAACAAACCATGACAGCCTAAAAGCTAGCCTTTTACCCATATGCGATAGGCCATAGGTCTTCATAGCATCCTGTTGCTATCACGTGCATCAGTATGCTGGAAGTAAATGCCATGGCATGGCTCAGATCACGAGGCGGGGGTGTGCCCTCCCCTGCCAGCCATACGGTCTGCGAGAGGGCAGACACGGGGTGGCCACGCCATAGGCCGTCAAGACGAAGCTGGCCTGCTCAGGAGAGGTCAGGCATTGCTGGGTGGGAGGGGCTGGCGTCCACCCTCGAGCCAGGTGGACTCTCCCAGCTGGAGCAGCGGGCACGTGGCGGGGGGAGGCTCATCATGAGGAGGGAGTTCTCAGCAGCCCCCAGTTCCTGTGTGGGCAGGGGCCGGGAGGAACCCGGAGGCACTCGGCCTCTCAGCCAGTGCAGGTAAAGAAAGACTGAGGAGCAGGTGGGAGCCGCCTGGGGGGGGAGGTTGCAGGTGAGGGAGGGAGGCCAGGCTTCCAGCACTGTCTCCAGAGCCTGGGTCCCAGCAGGGTCCCCTCTCTTCGGGACTGTACTCCTCAGATGGACATAGACCGCCTCTCCCCCTGATTGCTTGCAGACTGCCTGTTTCCGAGAAGAGCGCGACGTGCTGGTGAATGGGGACTGCCAGTGGATCACCACGCTGCACTACGCCTTCCAGGACGAGAATTACCTGGTACGTGTGGGTCTCCGGGAGCTGAGGCTCAGTCAGATGGCGTGTGGCCGAAGTTTGTTGATTCCTTTATGCTGTTACGAAAAAATGAGTAAGACTGTTTGGAATTGACATTGTTGAAACATATATATGACCAGAGAAAACTTAGGGGTTTGTTTTAACGTAGTAATCAGGTGGAATTTTTAAAAAATAGGCTAATGAGATTGTATACTTTTTCTAATTACTAGATGACCTGATTATTTTGTTCACTGGGTTTATTCCATTTAAGCTGGGGGCGTCAAACATTTTTCATCTTAAACCTTTTCCATCTTTAGTTACGTGTGAGATGAGGGAGTGCTGCAGGGCCACAGGGGCTCAGCCCTTCACGCCGAGTGGCTGTTGTCCTGCTGCTTGGCGACAGGCCCAGGACACTGAGCTGGTTTGCAGTCCTCCCAGGTGGACGAGCTGGGCTCTCTGAGGCTTTCTGACACGGGGTTTTGGGGGGACTCTTAGCATCCGTTTCTCCTGACTTGAGCTGGGCTTCTTTCAGTCTTGACCAGTCTGCCGTGTGACCAGCACACGCCTGGACGAGAACGTAGACCCCTGGAAACGCAGACACGATAGCTCAGAGTGAGGGTGCCTGGGTGGCTCAGTCGGTTAAGCGGCTGCCTTCAGCTCAGGTCATGATCCCAGGGTCCTGAGATCGAGTCCCGCATCGGGCTCCCTGCTCAGCAGGGGAGCCTGCTTCTCTCTCTCCCTCTGCCGCTCCCCCTGCTTGTGTGCTCTTTCTCTCTCTGTCAAATAAATAAAAATCTTAAAAAAAAAAACAAAAAACAAAAAAACACAATAGCTCAGAGTGAAGGGAAACCAAACCTTGGGTCTCAGGCACTTTGAATTCCAAGAGTGACTCTAGGTTCGCCTAAACCTGAAGTCCTTTTATGTGGAGCTCCGGGTGTCGGGCGAGCACAGACCCGGAGAAGCTGGTCTCTGCCTCGCTCCTCCGGCCTGCGCAGCTCCAGCATTGGCCGCAGTGCCTTCGAGGGTCAGCACAGCCTCAGGGCGGGGACCTATGTCTCTCTGAGCGCACCCTCACTAGCGTGCTCCATTTCCTACAGCAAGCCGAGTGACGTGGGATCTCTCTTACTCATCATAGAGCAGTCTCTTTCAGACATCAAAAGAAATCCCTTAGATTGAAATGCCCAGAATCAGGTAAAAGGGTCTATTATACCCTTTATTTAGAATTTAAAATAGGGGCACCTGGGTGGCTCAGTTGGTTAAGCGTCCAACTCTTGGTTTCGGCTCAGGTCATGATCTCAGGGTTGTGGGATCGAGCCCCACGTCAGGCTCTGCGCTCAGTGTGGAGTCTGCTTGGGATTCTTTCCCTCTCCCTCTGTTCCCCCATTCCCCCCCACCGCCCCCTTTGCTCACTCACGTGTGTGTGCTCTCTCTCTCTAAAATTAAAAAAATAATAAAAGAATTTTAAATAAATATGCTTGTTTCTACAGAGGGGACCGTTGTGTTTACTGAACAGTGGCGCGTGGGTCACCTTAGTCCTGTCTTCCCAGGGACCCCATGGCTTAGGCGCTCATGGTTGTCACCACTTTTTAAATGGAGTGTCTGGAGCAGGAAGGGATGAAGTCATCTGCCCAAGGTTGTCGCACAGATGCAGGGGCTGAGCAAGGACCGCAGCCCCGGCCTGTGGCGGGAAGTGGTGCTCAGTGCCCTTCCCCACAGACCGCAGAGTCCTGACGCCCTGGGGCCCTCTCCACATAAACCCCCTGCTCACAGGGGACCGGCTCCAGCCTGTTTCCCATGTGAATGAAGCTTCTGAGCAGTCTAGGCAATGTGGGTCTGTACCAAAGGAGAGCAACGTGTCTTCCCTGAAGTCGGCACAGCATGTTGCAGTCTGAAGTGTGAGGTGTCCCCAGGCTTATTCTGACCGCAGACGGTCAGTTAGGAATTCCAGCCAAGAAGCCATCTTCTTGAGTGTTTAGAGTTGCACAAATAGAGGTACAGTGACAATTAGGGAGAAGGAGAGCAGGGACTCTGGGCCTTCTTGGGTCCTCAGGCTGGGGTTGGCAGCCCAGGGTCTGGCTGTCTCTGCTGCCCCCGAGTGGTGAGTTTGGGCAAGTTTCCTTCTCTCTGGGACAGTGGCAGTCTTTGTGGGGCGGGTGCGAAGCAGGCCCAGCAAACACGCGGCCTGAGTGCCGCGGGCGGGGGGGGGGGGGGGGTGCCGGCTGTGTTAGGTGGATTCCTTGGGCTGCCCTGCGAAGCCAGTTCGTGTTATAATTTCTGTTGTAGGTATCTAAACTTGCCATGTCATAAAAATTAAACCTGTTTCACCAGTAAGTGAAAGGGCGTTGCCTTACTTAGAATCCTGTGTTACATGATAATTGGTCTAGTTCTTATTCCAAAAATCAGTTTCTAAGTGTCTGCGTTATAAGCCCTTACAGTTTACTTTCCTTACAAATTCGTTTTCCAGGAGCCTATCAATCATATCTAGCCCTGCTATACTACGTTTTTATTTTTCTTTTCAGATTTCCAGGTAGACATGGAAACCGTTGAGATTCAGCTAGACGTGGTGCTTGACTTATTCCTACTGCTTTCTTAGGGGCTGCAGAACTTGGCTATTCATTCACCTACCCCCTCGCCCCGCATGCGTCCGTCAGCAGGTGCTCTGGTCTTTGCCTCCAGATAGCCACGATGCCTGATCCATCCTCTCTGCCCTCCCCGGTGCCTGTCACCGTCACCTGCTGCCTGGCCTCCCAGCCCCTCTCCTGTCCTGCTCTTGGCCCTCATCCTCTAGTCCCTTCCTCCTGGGCAGGCAGAGCAAGCTTGTAAAGTACATCAGATTGCAGCTGCCTAGCCCAGGACCTCCCAGCAGCTTCCCTGGCTCTTTGAGTGGGGCCTGCGGTCCCTGCTGTGGTCTGTGGGGCCTGGCCTCACCCCCACCCCCTGCTCGCGCTCCGGCCATAGTCACTGTTCTCCATTCCCCCCAACGGGCCACATCCTTTGCACACGTCCCTTTGTCTGGAACATGACCTCTGGCCCGTGCCAAGGCCGGCTTCTGCCTGTCGTGTAGGCCCCAGACATCTGCCTGATGGTCCATGCAGCCTGGTCATGCTCTAGCATGCTGTGTGGTTTTGTTTTCTTCTGTGCTTAGTGCTCTCTGAAAGTCTTGTGACCGTCTCCTTACTTACTTAGGGTCTCTGGCCCTCCCCTCGATGTCAGCTCTGTGGAGGAGCACCCCTTGCCTTGGAGGGGTGCCAAGGGCTCCTAGCTGAGAATGAGCAAATGAGTGAGTGAACGAGGGAAAGCACTAGCTCGGTGGGTGCCATCGAGGGTCTTCCGTGAAACAGGAGATGTTGTGGGCACGGGTGAGGGGAACCTGATTACACAGGACTCCCGCCCTTGGACAGGCAGGCTGCAGTGCCCCGGTGCCCTGAGATCAGGCAGGGAGGTGGGGTCAGCCGACGTGAGTCTTGAGAGTAGCTTGTGAGGCAGGATGGGAGGGTTGTCAGCACAAGTGCTTTTGAGAGCAGGGGCCTAGAGTGAAGGCTCTCCCTCGGAGGAGGAGCCCAGCAGCATGGTGGCTACTCTCCTCTTTCATGAGGCACCGAGGGCCATGTTTGCCATTGTGCGCCTGGGTCCAGTTGCTTGTGTTCAGATCCTAGCTCTGTCACTCGCTGGCTGGGGGACTTCGGGCGCGTCATCGAGCCTCACTTCCTCACCTGTAGAACAGGACCGTGCTGGCATCTGTGGGGAGGGCTGCTGTGGGCATCTGCAGAGCGGGTGAATCAGGCCTGAAAGCACAGAACGTAGTAGTTGCTCCCTGAGTGGGAACTCTTACTGTTGTTAGGTTCTCAGTAAATAAAGTGATTGTTTGCCTGGCTTAGGAAACAAGGTGGTGGTATTTCCCCTCTGTTGGTTAGTTAACTGCTCAGACCAGAGCATCCATCTCTTCCAAGGAAACTGGCTTCAAGGGGGGTGAGTGCTCTGAGGTGGGGCCTGCCCCCTTGTCCAGGAGTCCCTGAGACGTGGTGACCCCAGCAGCTGCCACCCTGACCTGTGAGATGCCCCGTCAGACATCAGAGCATTTAGGGTGCTGCGCCCAGAGACTATTCTCAGACAGAAGGCCGCCCTGCCCCTCCCGCCCTGGGACGAGCCGGCTCCGAGGGGAGGGCCTGCTCAGTCCCGTTAGCAGAACACCCGGCACCTGGACGTTTTTCTCTCATGGCTTTAATTTCTACATAAGCAGTAAATGTTCTGATGTTTCGTGGGGGTGTACTCATAAGTACCTACTTTTCAGCTTGTTCATGGGATCACCTTTCTAATAAGAGCTGCTAGTTTCATGTGATTTTAGATAACTCGCCTTCCTCCTCTGGTCCAGTGTCCTCTTCCTGTGATGTAAGGGCCTGGAAAATTATTATATTTATTTGTTTGTTTGTTTATTATTTATGCATGCACGCACAAGCAGGGGGAGGGGCAGAGGGAGACCCTGCTGAGCAGGGAGCCTGATGCGGAACTCGATCCCAGGACCCTGGGATCATGACCTGAGCCGAAGGCAGATGCTTAACCAACTGAGCCACCCAGGCGCCCCCTGGAAAATTATTTTAAATGCAGTAGAACTTGATAGATTACAAATCATGTTTCTGGCTTTTGTGCCTTCTCCAGCATCAAACCCTTCAGTCACTCTCTCCATTGGTTAGATGTACTATCTCTTGAAGTTTGTTCTCTGCCAAATGCCTAACTTTGAAAGTACAGCAGTGTTAGGATACATCAAAGCAGGAAATCCTGGATGATGTGGGATGACGTGGGAGCAAGCCGTTGATCCAGACTTGAAGAGCCAAAGGACTTCACGGTGGGAGTTTGGCCTTTAGTTGTCAGGCTTGGTGCTGACTAAATGTTCTCTCCTGTCTCTTCCCAATTTGTAGTACTTAGTCATGGATTACTATGTGGGTGGTGACTTACTGACCTTGCTCAGTAAATTTGAAGACAAGCTTCCAGAAGATATGGCAAGATTCTACATTGGTGAAATGGTGTTGGCCATCGATTCCATCCATCAGCTTCACTATGTGCACAGGTAATCACCTCTTACGTTTTACAGAAACTCCATCTAATGTGTTAAAATACCCTTTCAGAGTTGTCTGTGTCACAAACCCCAGGTTCCAGGCCCTCCAGAGAGGTCGTGCAGTTAGCAGTCCTCGCTTTGAGCTGCCCCAGCGCCTGGCACCAGGGGATCCCAGCATTACTGTGACGATCGTGATGCTCGAGTGCCGGTCACTGAAGCCACCTTTGATATTTACCTGACATTGGCTCACCCTCTCCCCTGCTGATCCCACCTCCCCAGGATGCTTGCCCCCTAGCTCGTGGGTTCCCTGTGTCTGTGTCTGCTTTCTCAGCAGTGCCTTCTCTGTTCCACGGTCCCCAACGAAACACAGAGGAAGATGAGGCTGAGAAGAGGGGCGCATACCACAGCAGCCTGAGTGAGAGTGTGACTGGCGCTTGAGGAGGGGGTCGGTGTGGCTGGCTGCCTCCCGCTGTCCCGGGCCCTCTGCTGGGCCCGCGCTCTCCTGTGCGAGAGCCGCCTCTGTCGCTTTCTGCCGTTTAAGACAGTGCATCAGTCCTGGGGGGGTTGTTTCATTTTGATCAAAGTCAGATAGTTGTATATGAGTCTCCTGCCCTGCCCAGATTCCACTGGCCACAGGTAGCTTGTCACCTTTCTTAACTGTTTCTTCTGCTGTTTACCTCCTGTTTCTGAGTAACGCGCTTCTCTTGCTGTGCTCTTTTTCGCAGAGGAGGGACAGTTAGGTCACATCTATTAAAATGGAGATTTACTTTTTACAGAGTCTCTCTCTCTCCCAGCCCTCTCCCCCACACACTCTCCATCCTCCCCTCCCACATCATCCCAGGCCGTAAATGATAACTTGTGGTTGAATCTGTGTCTGGTGTTCATAATACGGCGCCTGTTTAAGTATTACAGATGAGCCCTGCAGTTACAGCATTACCCCCGTTGTAGAACTCGTCTCCTCCAGGGTTAGTAGCGGCCCTGTGTTTTCATGAGTGTACTTTTCCATGGGAGCCATCGCTAATTATCCCCAAACTTTGTGACCAAATCATAAAGCTATGCACACACAGACATAGCAGGTAGCCTTGGTCTGATTTTGCTTGGAGCTGCCTCTTCCTTCCCATTCCCTTCTGTCCAGGGTGTTCTCTGAGCCTACTGCTCTGCCCTCATTCTGAGAGTTTTGCCCCTGGACAGGATCCCTGCCCATCTCCCTGGGATTGGATCCCTTGTTTTCTGAGTCACGCATCGTATCGTCCTCTTGGTTCAGTCTTTTGATTTGGTAGCACATACTCTCTGTAATTTCTGGAAAAGGAGGCTCCTGAGATCATTTTTTTTGAGATCAGCATCTTAATTCCATCCCCATGTGTGACTGATGGATGATCCAGTATGGAAGTTTAGATTGGAAATCACCTTCCTCTTAGGACTGTGGAGGCGTCACTGTCCCTTGTTGGGAGGCTCGGGGCCCATTGTTCTCCTAACATGGCCATGAGTGTTACCTCACTGCTCAGCAGGGAAACTGAGGCGCAGGGCCCTGGGACAGCTTGCCTTCAGCCACATGTCCTGCCCAGGGCACCGGGCCACAGGTTCCGTGTGTCATAGAGTAAGCAGAGGGAGCTGCACCCAAATGTCACTTCTTTTAGGGTGATGAGGTTTGGGACAGTGCATTTTCTCTTTTTTCATGGATTCCTTAATGTCGTTGCAGCTGCTTTTATAACAGTTCACTGTAGTTGTTTTCAACCTTCAATTTTATGTTCTTCCTTTCTGACAGACTGTGCCTGATTCATACCAGACATAAATGTCTTTGCATTTGTCACCAATCTCCAGGGAAATTAATCTGACCACCTTATTAACAGTTTATTCTTTCCCTGTTTTCCCTAATTAGAAAGCTTTCTCCTTATTTTCTTAATTGGCTACGTAAAGCTTCACTCTGTTGTTCGACATCCAGGCATAGGAGGAAAATTAAATATGTAATTAGCACCCCCATCAACTCAGGATTCAGACTTAGAGCTTGAACGACCCAGTCTAAAAGCAGAAAGCTGTGCATGTTTGGTAGAAAGTTCACAAAGTCAGGTTTTGCAGGAAGTCAGTCCTACCCCAGCCTCCCGTGGTGGACACAGTGTGAGTGGGGTGAAACTACATTTGTTAGGGCCAGCAAGAAGTGTGTTTTGTCAGCACGAGTGGTAACAGCACTGCTGGATTTAACATGCACGATCCCGACCCTGTGCCACAGCCCTGCGCCCTGTTTCTGTGGTAGCCCGTGGGCCGCCCCGCAGCTGGGCTTCTGCAGCTCAGGACGCAGTGGGCGGCAGGGAGTGGGGAGCGCAACACCCGTGCTTCTGAGAGGTCGGCCCCAGATCTCAGCAAAGGTAGAAACGAAGAGTCACAGATTCACAAAGACTCGCTGTTGGAGGATATCACATCCCCGGAGAGAACAGAGAGTACGGCTTAGGAATGAAAGAAGAATGGTGCAGTTTTATGAGAAGGAATATTCAGAGAACAAAAACGGTCTTGAAAAAGGAACAGCGAGAACAAGGAGCTGTGTGGAAGAGACACAGGATAGCGCAGAGGAAACCTGACCGAGATGGAGATCCGGGGAGTGGGTGGTCAAGGCGGCTCTGCAGAGCCTCCCCAGGAATGGCTCTTACTTTATCCTGAAGAGGCCCTCCTATTGTCCCAAGAGCCGCTTACTTATTCACCTCTCTGCCCCAGTGGACTGAGAGAACATCCTCATCACGTCTGCACTCCTTGTGCAGTTGGTCTGGTTTTGGACATTCCATCCTGTCCTGTCGTCCCTCTGTGTCTCCGCACCAGAGCCCTGCTGCTTTAATCATGGAGGCTGAGTCCATGGAGGCCTAGTTGCCCCCTCAGCCCCCTTGCTTTCTCCTCACGGTTCTTCTGGCTGCCCTCACACAGTAACCGATCCCTGTGACCTTCAGTATCGACTTGTCTGGCTCCAAAAATAGTTGGAAAATGTTCGATGTGATGGGCCCATCAGTCTGTCAGTGCAGGCCCTTTCTATTACTTCTGGAAAGTTCTCTCGAATTGTATTTTCTTTTTTTTTTTTTTAAAGATTTTATTTATTTATTTGACAGAGAGAGACACAGCGAGAGAGGGAACACAAGCAGGGGGAGTGGGAGAGGGAGAAGCAAGCTCCCCGCTGAGCAGGGAGCCCAATGCGGGACTCGATCCCAGGACCCTGGGATCATGACCTGAGCTGAAGGCAGTCGCTTAACCAACTGAGCCACCCAGGCGCCCTCTCGAATTGTATTTTCAAGTATTAGTTATGTTTTACTGTTTCGGTTTCTTCGGGGACTCCCGTTATTTGTGTGCTGGGTCTTCTTAGCCTGTCTTCCACTTCCCTCCAACTGTTCTCTCTGACCCTTCTCACTGCTTTGTCTCCCTTTTATTCTTCTAGATCTTTCCCTCCCTTTCTTCAGTGCCTTTCATCAGATCTTTATTTGAATTTGTTCTCCTTTGAGCACCTTATAATGTAGTCACCATTTCTGATAAGATTTTGTCTTTTTCTTTTATTTCTTCCTGAGTTAAATCGACTCTCTTCATTTCTTCCTGTTTTTGTCTGGTTCTGTCCTTAATGTTTATTTTCCCGACTCGTTGAGGGTTTGTTTTGTTTTCTCTCTCCTATTCCTGTTTGTTTATTCCAGTTTGGAGTGCTGTGCTAGTTTTCTTTTGCTTTGTGGGTCTTCCTGTGGGTAAGAATTGTCATCTTCTGCTCACTTTGTTTGTGGGACTCTCCCCCGATGTTAGGAGTAGCGGGTGCGTGTTTGTCTTCCCGGAGGCGTGGCATTCTGTCGCCTCGGTGCCTGCCTGTACTCCTCTGGGTGAGCATCTGCCTTCTTTTGCTCCTGACGTTTGTGTTCCCTTTCATGCTGGCCGGTCATTTGAGCTTGTTCTGCCAGGAAGGAGGGTTTGTGCTTTAGAGGTCGTCCCCCTACCCGGGGGCCTACGTTTCCAAGGACACAGAGCAGCAGGTATGGCCGTGGGCTTACTTTCCTGCCAGGCGCTTACTGCTGACAGCTGGTCTTCAGCCCCCAGGTCTGTCCGTCAGCTCCGGCATTGGGTACGCAGTGTGCTGCTGGCCGCTGGGCTCCTGCCCCAGAGCCTCACCCATCTCCTGCTCTCATCCAGTCTCTGCCCCAGAGCCTCACCCATCTCCTGCTCTCATCCAGTCTCTGCTCAGCCACCCTCGGCTTCCTTTTCGACTTCCTCACGTTTCTTCACAGTACATACCACGCGTGTCATACTCTGGTGCCGAGACCACGTGTGTGTGTCTGCGATCCCGTGTTCATGTTCTGCCACCTCAGCTGGTGGGAAGCTTCGTGAAGGCGGGGGCCGCGGGGTCTGGTTCCCGTTGTAGACCTGGGGTCGAGCACAGCCCCTGGCACGTGTGGTGGGAACAGGAATGGCCTGTCACCTGACTGACGGGGATCAGCTCGCGCACAGGAGTGAGCGGTAGTGGTGAAGACCGCCACTGCATACCCAAGTAAAGCGTCACGGGAGACGTTTTTCCAAGATTGTCACAGCTGGTACGCTGCTGTTAAGGTTAAGAGCTTTGACCTACTCAGTACGTAGCATGGAAATGGTTAATTTGTTTATTTATTTTACTAACAGAGACATTAAACCTGACAATGTCCTTTTGGACGTGAATGGTCACATCCGCCTGGCTGACTTTGGATCATGCTTGAAGATGAATGACGATGGAACTGTAGGTATTTTGTTGGAGATTTCCCATTTGATTTGGGGTTTTGCTTGTAATTAAGGGGCTTAAAATTTTAATTTGAGATCCAGTTAAGAAACCAAGTTCATGAATGTAAATTAAAAAGATAAATCCATTTAGGAGACAGTTGAAATGTTCTACTTAAGTTTGAAACCTCTTTTTAGCTTTCTGTGTTTACAAAAGTCATGCATATGCTTCTCAGTTGGGGGGGACGGGTTGTCAGGTTTCCTCACGTGGCCAGGCAGCTAAAGTCACATCAGCGCTGCAGTGGATGACAGGCAGCCCTCGGGTCCTTTCTTGAAACACCCTGTGCAGGCCAGTTGGGCGCACAAACCTTCACTGTAACTACCCCTCCTCATTTCTGTCTGCGGGCAGCTGACTTCCTGTCAGTGAGCGGTTTTCTCTCTGTGGGTGTTGTAGATCTGGAAGCGGGGGTCCTGGATGCTAGACTTTTCTCTTTCCAACAAGCTCTGCGTATTGATGAGTTGATATATTGGTGCTGTCCTCAAATCCAGTCTTCTGACGACGAGAACAGTGGCCTCAGACTGAGCTCGAGTGTTGGTTAGCTTTCTTACCCCACGTGTGGACACTCGTCCCGTGTCACGACCTCATGCTCCAGTCTTCCCGCTGTCCGCCTCGGAGCTTCTGCAGTGGGCAGCCGCGCGGCAGAGCAGTGACTCTGGTCACATGATGGAGGCAGACCCCCATGCTGCTGATTCAGTCTGACCCGGGGTACTGCCTGCACCCCACGGCCCCCTCCTCAGACACGACCCAAGGGAGAGTCAGGCCTTCTGTGATTGTTTCTCCCTCAGTCTTACGGACTCTTCTCCATGTGCTCCGAGACCAGTCTGATTGCTCAGCTGACTCACTGCCTCTTGCTTTCTCTGTGATGATTGCTGCCCTCTCTGGCCACAGATCTCCGTAGAGATGTCACAGGCCTGTTCTGCTAACATCAGTAGCCGAGGGACTGTTCTTTCCCCTTTAGGGGCCTTAGCCTCCTGCTTCCCCATCTGGGGAATTCCTGAGCACCCAGCTAGTGCCTGGACCTACTTCCAGATGTTCCCGTTTGGGAGACTGAAGGGTAGGCTCTGGGTGAGCAGCCTTAGCATCCCTGGGAGCATGCTGGAAATTTAGCGTCTTGGGCCCCACCTTAGAATTTGTTCTCCAAGAGCCCAGGGTGGCCTGTGTGCACACGGGGGTGGTGAAGGGTCAGCCTGAACACACATGGCCCCTGGACCACACTTGGGGCAGTGACGGAGCGTGTGGGCCATGCCACCCCTTGAGGGACTGCAGTGTCATCTGGGGGCTGAGGTGGGCTTTTGGGCACAGAGAGACCAGGTGTGCAAGACAGTCTTGTGCATTCTGGAAACTGCCCAGTGTGTAGTGCCGCAGTTTTATTTCATGATGATTTCGTTATTTGTTGTCCCTATTTTAGAGAAGGTTAGTTAGGAATTTGGCCTGAGAGTTTCCCTCCCAAAACCACCTCTCCCCTAAGGTCCAGTCTTCTGTGGCCGTGGGCACTCCTGACTACATCTCGCCCGAGATCCTGCAGGCGATGGAGGACGGCATGGGCAAGTATGGCCCCGAGTGTGACTGGTGGTCTCTGGGCGTCTGCATGTACGAGATGCTGTACGGAGAAACACCCTTCTACGCAGAGTCACTCGTGGAGACCTATGGAAAGATCATGAACCACGAAGTAAGACGTTGCATTTCCATGTCCTGTTGGTTTGAGTCCCGAGGCACAGGCCTGGAGGCGGGAGGGCCTCTCGGAAGCTGTTAGCATCTTTGGGGAAGAGGTGTTAAGGCTGGAGCAGGCTGCTGGCCGCCAGACAGGAGCAGAGAGATTACGGCAGTAGGGTCCACACCGGCGGCCGACACAGGAGGTGTGGGCGTGAGGGGAGGAGAGCTTCCGGGTCACGGCCCAGGAGAAGCGTGCTGAGCGTGCGTGGCCTCAGGATGGCTGGGGTTGAGGAGCAGTTGGACACTTCCACCCAAGGGTCTGGATTCACCAGCTTCAGTGACGGGGCCATGCGCCTCCACATGGCGGCATCCTTCCACCTCCTGGGTCCTGTTCCTTTTCCCTTTCTCAGCTGTGCATTTTCCACTCCGACCTCGCCTCCCCTCTGCCTCGCCTCCATTTCTCGTCTGCCTTACCATTTACTCTTCTTCCTCGTGTTTCTGTCATCTGCTTCCCTCAGTCACGTATGTCTTCTTCACGCCGCTCCCACCCTCTGCCAGCGTGCTCTCAGCGTCCTTCCACGCCTCTCCAAGGGTGACCCCCTCCACTGACCTGTCCTCAGCCCCGTCCCTCACTAACTGCTCCCATGGGGAGCAGATTAACAGGAAAGTGGTGGGTGGTCTTCCATTTAACTACAAATCAGAGCAAGTCATACTTGTAAAAAACACTTTTCCCAAGGTAGAAATAACTCTTTTCACTTGTAAGTTAGTCTATACCTACCATTAAAATGTCAGATGACACAGAAGGGTAGAGTGTAGATGGTGGAAATCACCGCATCCGCTTTTCCATGATAAGTGCTGTTAAGGTGCTGAATGGGACTCCGTGAATCCTAAGGAGCCTGCTGGTACTGAGCGCGCTCCCTGTGGGGCCTGGTCCAGCGCTTTGCGTGCTCGCACTCACCTGATCTTCAGGCATCCCCGCGAGCTGCTTCTGCTGTCCCTGGTTCTAGATCACAGAGGCGGGCCTGGGCTGGGTGTGTGGGGGGAGGGGCGGGGGGGGTTGGAATGAATGGCAGCACATTGCATATGACTAGGTGGTTCTGTCCATGTGTTTTTGTCATCTCTCCGGTGCACAGAAACAGCCCGTTCTCTTGGCGTGTGTGTGCCCTGTTTTTAACAGGTCCCTTTTTGGTGGACATTTAGGTAATTTGCAGTTTACTTGGTCAGAATATCATGCTGTTGTGAACATGCTAGGTATTCTCTTTTTGACTGTTTCTGTAGAATACAGTTTTCAGAGTGGGATTGCCATAGCTCCTGGTGAAACGCCCTCTGAGAGGGCTGTACCGGCCTGTCCCACACAGCGCGTGGTCTGCGTTCTCGGCCACTTTGATGGGTGACTGTCCATCATTGTTGGCATTTACGTGTAATGTGGTACCAAGTCTGCCACACGTAAAAGCAGTAAGACTAATGATTTTCTCGTTTGCCTTTCTGGAGTTCAGTTTCATTAGCTGTGGCTTGCATTTTAGTTACCGTGAAAGCAGTCGTGACTTGCTTTGGAGCGGTCACCTCTCTGTTTCCTGAAATGTCTGTATACCTTCGGTTTTTCTGAGTAAGTTTTCATCCTGTGTCCACCGACCTCCCCACCCTCCAGGAGCGATTTCAGTTTCCATCCCATGTCACCGACGTGTCTGAAGAAGCCAAAGACCTCATTCAGAGACTCATCTGCAGCAGAGAGCGCCGGCTGGGCCAGAACGGGATAGAGGACTTCAAAAAGCACGCATTCTTTGAAGGTCTGAATTGGGAAAACATACGGAACCTGGAAGCACCTTATATTCCTGACGTGAGCAGTCCTTCTGACACCTCCAACTTTGATGTGGATGACGATGTGCTAAGAAATATTGTAAGTGTTAATGCTGTTGCGTCCTCATGTGGTGTCCCGGTGGGTCCGAATAGTGCCAGTGTTCTGTGGAAGGTGTTGGCTTGCCAATATGATACATCTTAGGACTGAGTTGGTTTCTTTAAAAGTCTGGTAGTTGTTTTAAGAAAATACACCTTTTATTCCGACTTTCAGCCTGGTCCTTAATGTGTCTTTGAAAAAGTAAGGGTCACAGGCACTCCTCATTTCATGGTACTCTGCAGATACTGGGTTTTTTACAGACTAAAGGTTTGCACGTGCCTCCAGCACATTTTGGGCGCCACTTTTGCTCACTTTGTGTCTCTCTGTCACATCCTGGTGATTCTCACCATATTTCAAGCTTTTTCACTATTACTGTATTTGCTACGTGATCTGTCATTAGTGCTTACGATTTGTTGAAAGCTCAGGTGATGGTTAGCACTTTTTAGCAGTAGAGTATTTTAAATTAAGGTGTGTACTTTATTCTGATACAATGCTGTCACACGCTCAGTAGACTGTAGTGTGGTGTGAACTCCTGCATGCACTGGGGAACCACACAATACACTTGACTCATTTCATTGCGATACTCACTTTCTTATGGTGGTCTGGAGCGGAACCCAGCATTTCTCCCGAGGTACGCCTGTGCTCAGTGGGAGTAAAATCGAGTTACATGGCTCTTCTCCTCTGGAACTCACCAGACGTGCTTGTGCTGTATTTTCATGGCATTCGGCTGTGTCACCTCTGCCACCATCTGGAAGCCCGCCACAGCCCTGTCCCCGCTTCCAGACTTCGAGGCCCTGAGCAGGCGAGGAGCCCTCCACTCCCCCACAGCGGGCTCCCAAGCCTCTGGGGCTCCGGTCCCCGCGCATGAGCGTGTAGGCTTCCTGCTGTCCGGTGTGCTTGGGTGTCTACACACGTGTTTCTATGGCAGGGGTTTGGGAGCAGCAGTGACTGTGTGTGGGTTCGGAGTCCTCCCACTGACGTCGTGGAGTCTCCAGATCGGGTCCTGGCTCTAGGGCCGTCGGTGTTTGGCCGCTCCAACAGGGCCTCTGGTGCATCGGTCGTCACCTTTAGCCCCAGAGAGTTTTGCGTAGAGGCTGTAAAGTTATTTGATCTCCTCGAACCCAGCCTTTTTTAGTCCATACATGTGACCTGGTTTGGGGATAGAGGGACTCAAGTTCAACCAAGTAGAAGAAAGATCTTGAGTGCTCCCTAGAGAATTCCTCTTACTCAAATAAGAGCTGAACTATAGACGACACGGAGAAAAGTAGTGTCCTGTGGAAAGGGTTTTCCTAGATTCCAAAGAAACCATTTCCACACTGACATCTCCCAGATGAATTATAACTTTGGTCTCATGTTCGATAAAGAAGGATCCTGAAGCTGAAAAACAGAGTTGGTAATACATTTACCTACAGTACTCTACCTTGGCTTCCAAGCCTCTCTTCTGCCTTTGGCCTCTGTCCCTGCCGAGGGCCTGGGAGCCCCCAGGCTCTGCCCCGCGCCTTCCGGGGGCTGTGTGTGGGCACCATCTGCGCACTCTGCTTAGGGCTACGTGGAGTGGTGGCTGCCGTGGCTGCAGCGGGCTGGGCTGGGGTGCGCCTTGGGCCCGGGACATCATCTCATCTGAAGCAGTGTGTTTGTCCTCTCTGCTGCGTTGTGTGCGCAGCCAGGCCCGAGAACTGCAAATCTGCCAGTGCTGTGCTCTCTGGCGGGGAACGCGGTGTCCTCCATGTCCTAGAAAGCCACACGACTCTCTCTCGTGCACCCCTGATTTTACCAATGGGTAATACTCTTTCCTGCCTCTTTCCCTTTGTTTGAACATGGATTTAATTTTGTTGTATGTGTTCTTATGCAGGAAATATTACCTCCTGGTTCTCATACAGGCTTCTCTGGGTTACATTTGCCATTCATCGGTTTTACATTCACAACGGAAAGGTAGGTCTAGATTTATCCTTCTCCAGCCAGAGCCTCCCCTTGGGCTGGATGAGCAGTCTGGGGGCTGCTCCTGTTTGGGTGCATGCCTGCATCAGTGTTGGGGGGAGGGCTTGTCCTTTGAAAGGGCCACCTGATGACTATACACAGTGACACATAGCAGGCCCGGCAGACTTCTTCCACAAAGGGTGGTCTTTGTTACATAGTCTTCTTTTTTAACAACGCTTTGAAAATGGGAAACCCATCCTTAGCTCATGGGAGGTAGTTAGCTGACTTCTGACTTACAGGCCATCAGTGTTGGCAAGATCTGTTCTGAGAGAATGTCAGTGGCCGTGGCCAGCAGGTCCCTGCCCCGGTCATGCCCGGCTTTCATAAGGATTTTAGCCGCAGCGCTGTAGCTTCCACCGTGGAGCGCAGTCCCAGACGTAATGGAAATCTAAAGAGCCAGGAACAGAAGCCCCACGTGTAGCTCCAGCCCCCAAATACCGTGGTGACTTTTTGTACCTGTCAGCCTCTGTCTTGAATGGGCCTCTTCGCCAAGCTGTCACCGGCTTTCAAAGAAAACTGGGCCAGGAGGAGAGGAGAGAGGAGGAAATACAGGCAAAGTGAAGCAGATGGAACCACGCAGCGCTTGAAGGAGGGCAACACAACTTGACTCCTGGCACCTTCCAGCAGCTCATAGCCGAACTGATGAGAATGCCTTCAGGAGAGGGTTGTTTCTGCTTGAGCTCTTGAAGCTCCCTTGGTGTGAGGTGCCGGGGTTAAGCAGCACTTGAGCCAGAGTGACAGCTGGTGCCTCGTAGTCCACAGGAAGGGGTCCGAGATGCCGTAGGCATACTGACCTCTTAATCCCTCATGCAGAGGTTCCTCGTTTTTCTGGCCCGTTCTAGCTCCGTGGGTGCTTGTTACACCCAGGGGTTCCAGGCCCACCTGCCGAGGCTCCAGTTTGGTGGGTCAGGCCCAGGCCCTCCTTCTGGAACAGACCCCACGGTGCTGGCGTGCACAGCATGCTCGGGCCACCCTTGAGAAACACCAGCCCGGCCCTTCCGTACACGTGTGTGTGCAGGTGCCTTGGCTGCACTCAGTGTAGCAGGAGCCAGAGGAGTCCTCCCAGCATCGTTGTCACATTAAAAGCAAGAGAACTAAGTAACTTGTGTACCAGTTCAAGAATTAAGCTCTGAGTGAGACAAGCACCGTGGGCTTTAATCTGTGCACATGGTGCACGCTGTGGGCCTGTCGCTGGTGAGTGGCTGGGCCGCATACAGTGCTGGAGTTGCGAGAACCATGCGGGTTGTTCAGTCTGCACGGGAGGATGAGCCCTGGAGGGTGGAGCGGCCCATCCCCAGAAATCGTCGGTCGGTCAGCAGCAGGAGGAGGCCCTCGATGGCCTGGGCATCCAGGGGCGTCCCCTGTGGCCTCTGCCAGGCCCCCACGCCCGGATGCCCACAGGATACCGTCTCCTCTTGCATTTCTGGTTGAGTGTAAGTGGTGCCATAGGGATTCCATTCCCTCCTTCACAGAGGCATTTTCTTTGACTACCTCGGAGGGCACATCCTTGTCTGTCACCCCCCGTCATCTGACCATTAGCCATAAGGAAGACTCTTCTAAATTCTGACTCTATAGTCTTTTCACAGACAGTATTGTTGGCCTGTTTGAAAGACGTGTGTTTTGCCCCAGAAGTTCTAAAATGCTGATGAGCTATGAATTCTCAGTAGATGAGAAAACCCTGTTGCTTCACTTACAGCTGTTTTTCCGACCGAGGCTCTCTGAAGAGCATAATGCAGTCCAGCACCTTGACCAAAGACGAGGGTGTGCAGCGGGACCTGGAGAATAGCCTGCAGGTAGAAGCCTACGAACGGCGGATCCGGAGGCTGGAGCAGGAGAAGCTGGAGCTGAGCAGGAAGCTGCAAGGTGAGGGCAGAGCCCAGCCTCCCGCAGCCTCGGATGCCCGCCCTCAGCACTGGCCTGCCCTCACGCCCTGTCTCCCTCCCCTAGAGTCCACCCAGACCGTGCAGTCCCTGCATGGCTCCACCCGGGCCCTGGGCAGCTTGGCCCGGGATAAGGAAATCAAAAAGCTAAATGAAGAGATTGAGCGTCTGAAGAATAAAATAGCAGGTAGGTGGTCTGTATTCTTGGGCATTCATCCCTTCAGAGAAAATTTTCAGTCCTTTTCGTAAGGTGGAAAAGGAGAAAAAAAGCTTTGGCTTCACTGAACCTATTTAAAGGTCTCTTTTGTCTGTTCACTTGAGATGATTTCTCCACCTTGGCTTAGCTCAAATTACAGATTTTATAGTTGTAGCTAGTTTGTGTCTTCTAGTACCTCATCCACAAACTCTCAGAACATTTTACATTTCTTTGTCTTAATTCCCCTCTTTGTAGCCCTAAGACAGAATTGCTTATTTCTTCCTGAGGCTTTCTTCAGTGACCTTCTTTCCTCGGTATTTTAGATGCTGGATCTGTCCTCCCCCCTCCATCTTACGTGGTTCCTAGATTATCAAAGCTTCCTAAAGACTCAAGTCACTTTTGAGTCTTAACCCTCAACTGACACAGGGGTTAGCCCGGCAGTTGGCTCTCGTCTCCAAACCTGTTCTTTCTCTCCGTTTCCTTCCTAGAACCCCCCCACCCCCGTTGACGCTGAAAAGGGCCTGAGTCAGTTACACACAGAGGCTGCCCTGTGCTTGCTCAGGGTTAGCAGTCCCTGAGACGGGTGGCTCAGTGCCACGCCAGGGCTCACAGCCCCCGGGGCAGAGCCATTACCCAGACGGGCAGCTCACGTGGGTGGCTAAGCAAGTGGCACTTGACACAGCAGCTCACGTGTGTGAGAAAGTCAGAAAGCTTCTAAATGATAAAGAGCATGAGGAATTACCAAATAATACACTCTCAGGAAGTCAGATGGTCTGTTTTCTCTTTCGCTCAGATTCAAATAGGCTCGAGCGGCAGCTGGAGGACACGGCGACCCTTCGCCAAGAGCATGAGGACTCCACACATCGGCTGAAAGGCCTGGAAAAGCAGTACCGTGTGGTGCGGCAGGAGAAGGAGGATTTTCACAAGGTAATCCAGGGTGTGATTTGCCATGAGAGGGGTGTGAATGGTTTCTTAAGTGGTGAGGTTGAAGTCGTGCAGGGGTCCGCGGACCTCTTCCAGGACCCTCGTGTGTGTCCTGGCCTGTACTGCCCGCAGCCCCAGAGGGGCACGAGTGCCCGAGGGTCCCGCCGGGCCACTGGGCACTCAGCCTCCAGGGTGGCTGGCCATGACTTCGTGGGCCTCCTCCTGGCTGCTGACCACAAGCCTGCCCTGTGGGCCATACCCCCCAGTGAAAGTAAGGACATGGCGGTGCAGAGGGTCCCCATGTCCCAGCGTCCACAGGAACCGACCCAGCTGGGTTCATACGCTTGTGTCTGGTGCCAGTCCTTCCCCGCTCCCCGCCCCTGCTCCATCTGGCCCCCTGCAGCGGCCTCTCCCCACCCCCACTTCTTTCAGAAGTGAGCTCTTCCTTACAACAGGGCGCTACAAGAGAGACCATTTGTTAAAGTTTGGGTAATTCCCCCCAAAAGGCTTTTATAAATTTGATTTTCAGTGAAATATATCAAACTCCGTGCTCATACAGTATGTTCATACCACAGGATCGTGTTTTCTGAAATACATTCATTTACACACTTAAGTTGTTAAACGCACGGTTTGTGATCATTCTCTAAAATGTGCAGGATTTCAAACCCAGATTGTCCAGTTCCCCACGGCATCCTACCACAGCGCTCCTGTCTCAGCGCGCGACAGGAGACCCCGCCTCACTCCAGCTACAGTAACACCCAGAGCCTGGTCCTGGGGGCCTGGTGGAGGCATTCCCCCCCATGGGGGGAGCCTCCTCCCCAACCTGTTCACATCCCCGCCTCCCAGTCAGACAGGTGCCGCGGTGACTTTGCCACCGGTGGTGAAGGGATTGGCTGCAGGGTGGCCGGTGGTGAGGCCATGTTGCCCGCGCAACCAGAGGGACAACCACCCCCATCGCTCTCTCTAGTGAGGGTTAGCAATCCTGTCGTCTTTTTTCTGTGATTCTTTACTTTGGTGGAAATCTTAGGCTTTTTCTTCTGTAACACGTTCTTTCCTGAGTCTGCTGTTTGGTGACGTTCATGCTCCATCCACCTGTGTGATTGTGTGGACAGCGCCGGGGAGAGGTTGACACCGGTGAGCCGGACTTGCCGCTGCGAGCAGGGCCTCAGGCTGGCTGGGGGAGCTTGGGCTTCTGGTCGCCGTGTCACTGGGGGTCTTTCCTGGAGTGAAGGTGACGCTCAGCACCTCGGCTCGGGTGGGCTTCTTCCAGGCACCTCATAGCGTGCTGGGGCCGAGCCAAGGGCTTTTTTCAAGAAGGTGAGCTCTTGGGTCTTGGCCATGGTCTGTAGCCGGCATTTGCGGGGAAAGACTGAGCTTCCAGCCTTCCACATCTTTGTCAAGCAAATGTCAAATAGCTGTCATTCTTTCTGTTCAGCAATTGGTCGAAGCTTCAGAGCGATTGAAATCCCAGGCCAGAGAACTCAAAGATGCCCACCAGCAGCGAAAGCTGGCCTTGCAGGAGTTCTCGGAGCTCAACGAGCGCATGGCAGAGCTTCGCTCCCAGAAGCAGAAGGTGTCCCGGCAGCTCCGCGACAAAGAGGAGGAGGTGGAGGTGGCCATGCAGAAGATCGACTCCATGCGGCAGGAAATGCGCAAATCTGAGAAGTTCAGGAAAGAGGTAGCTTTTTAGCTATTTCAGGGATTGTACTGTTTGGACCTTTGTATGATCTTAATAAAACATCTTGAGAACTTGGGGTGAGTTATATAAATTACTTTAAAATAAGCCTTAAATTTTATGAGAAACCAAGTAAGTTGGCTTGCCAAGTTTTTTGGTATTTCTCAGCCCTCAGTATCTATTAGTGAAATTATTAAGAGATGTCTTAGGATGCTGATTGTTAAAAATTCCCTTTTAAAGCAAATAGAGAGGGTATTCATACCTCACAAATATAACATAAATGTGTCATGATCGATCCAGCACCGCGTAAGTGTGCATGAGCCGCATGTCCCTGGTGGGTGCGGAGGGAGGGTAGGAAGAGCAAGGCTCAGCCAGGCGCACCTCACGTCAGCCCAGGGGCTCTGAGACTTTGCTTTCAGGACGGCTTTTTGCTCTTAAAGATTGTTGAGACCTCCCAAAGAGCTTTTGTTTGTGTTGGTTACAGCCCTTCGTATTTACCATGTTAGAAATGAAGACACTTCTTTCAGTTTAACAATAAACCCATCACGTGTTGACATAAGTAACATTTTTTATGAAAAGTAACTACCTTCCCCTGTGTAGTGAAAAGAGTGGCATTTTTACATTTTTGTGCTTTTCTTTAGTAACTGCCTTAATAATAACACGTAGGTTGTCATACCTATTTCTGCATTCAGTCCGTCGTGTTACACTGTTTTGGTTCAAGTATTTGAAGAAAACCCAGGTAATTAGAAAAAGAAGGGCCTTTATTCCCCCAGGGCCTCAAGACCCGACTTTGAGAACTGGCTGCCTGAGATGCTCCAGATGCCCTTCCACTAACGAGTGACATACTTTAAGCAGCCCTTAGTATTGAATTCTGTTAAAATTTGCTTAGTAAACTGAATCAGAAGGCCTAGAAGTATGTGATCTTTGTCACTTGGTCTCAACATGCTTGTTTGTTTTCTTCTGCACTTATTTTACTACCAGATACCTTTGTAGTTGTAGCTGGCCGTGGCTCCGGTCCGTGGAACCCCTGACCAGCGTTAGCGGTCACGTTGCAGAGGAGTCACTGTGGGGGACAAGGCAGGCCGCCGAGGCCCACACAGCCAGGGCTGCCGTCCTTCCGCTGCCCCCTGCTCGCACACACGCATGACGATTGTCGTTTAATAGATGAGTTTGTGTTCTCCAGACACCCGAAGTACTTGCTTCACCATTCTGCATCCTTTCTTGAAATTTAATGCCAAATTATTGATTTAAATTAGAATTTGAATTTGTTTTATTACTAACCAGCTGTTCCGGTTAAGTCTTGAAGTGTGTTTTTCAGCCTTTAACTGGGTCTGAAATCTGATGAGGAGGGAAGGAGTCAGACGCTGTAGGACTGCGCTGGCCGAGGGCCCCTGTCCGGAGGGCCGGCTTCGTGCCAGTAAGCAGCGGGCCTTCTTTTTGCAGCTGGAAGCTCGGCTGGAGGACGCCGTTGCCGAGGCCTCCAGGGAGCGCAAGCTTCGTGAGCACAGCGAGAACTTCTCCAAGCAAGTGGAAAGTGAGCTTGAGGCCCTCAAGGTAGTGCCTTCCGGAGGCCAGACCATCTCCCTGACTGTCGCGGTGGGCCTGTCGGGGGAGGGCGGCTGCGGAGAGACGCCGGGCCTGGAGAACATGGCTTTATGGCAGCTTTTCCCTTTGAAAAGTCCAGTTCCTTCATGTTTTCCCTTCTGTAAAAAGTCTCAGGCAGTTTATAGGAAACGCTGGTAAACTAACACCTGATACCTACCATTTATTGAGTTTCTTTTTGTTATTTAAGATTTTATTTATTTGAGAGAAAGAGAGAGAGAGAATGAGGTGGGCACGAGCAGGGGGGAGGAGGAGGGAGAAGCAGACTCCCCGCTGAGCAGGGAGCTCGACGCAGGGCTCAATCCCAGGACCCTGGGATCATGACCTGAGCTGAAGGCAGACGCTTAACTGACTGAGCCACCCAGGCCTCCCTGTCTCAAGTTTCTAAATTCAGTGGAGTCCATTTCTGGAAGTGTTCCTTGAAGCCCACATCCTGCCACTGAAGTTGAAGAGACAGGCTGGTGGCCGGGTGCAGCCAGGCACCTTGGGAGGGAGCGGAGCGAGGGAGGGAGCGAGCAGAGAGCGCTAGTGGTAGGTCTCCGTGTTAGCCTAGTGTGATCTCAGGTGCGCGAGTTGCCGTTCTGAGCCTTGGTTTCCTTATCTGTGAAGTGGGGACAGTGGGCCTCCCCCTCCCCCAGCACATATGTCGGAGCTGCCTGTTTCTCTCCGTCGTCTTGCTGCCGTCTGGTCTGGCCGGGGGCAGCCCCGTGGGCCTAGACTTCTGCCCCCTTGTGCCCGAGTGCTTGTCGCCGTCCAGAGTGACAGTCCGCGCTCCACGTGGCAGCCCGAGTGCGTCCTGTCCTGTGCCCACCGGCGGCTTCCCGTGGCTCCGGGGTGACGTGACCCTAACGGCGCCCCTCCGGGCACTTCCCCTTCCCGCTCGCCCAGCCACCCCGACACCCTCCTGTTGTGCACGCAGCTCGCTTGCCGCTCGTCGCCTGATAGGGCGCTTCCCGTGTCACCACCTCAGCGCCGCCGTCTCTAGCTGTGCGCTTCGTGCCACCCCCGTTCCTGGTCGCGCTGCCTTGTGTTAGCATCTTGTTGCTTAGTCCCTGGCTTGTCGTCCGTCTCTCCCCCTGCCCCGTGAGAGCAGAGAGCACGGTGTAACCCTGTTACTGCAGAGGCGCCTGACACATAGTCAGCCGTCAAAGCAGTATTTGCGTGATGAACCAATAGTGGGAGGAGGCTTTGAAGACCCTTCGTGTCAGGGCATAGAGAAAGAGCTTCTGGAGTCCCGGGCAGATTGGGGCACGTCCCTTCAGCAGGGCAGATACCGTCAGCCCCTGGCATCCGCCGCTGGGCCCAGATGTGTCAGGTGCAGCGCCTGTCGCTGGGGGGGGGGGTGGTGACAGGCCGCGTGGCCCTCGGGAGGACCCAGAGCTCTGTAATTAACTTAATCTAACCTTTATCTTCAGATGAAGCAAGGAGGCCGGGGACCAGGTGCCACCTTAGAACATCAGCAGGAGATTTCCAAAATCAAATCCGAGCTTGAGAAGAAAGTCCTGTTTTACGAAGAGGAGTTGGTCAGGCGTGAGGCCTCCCATGTGCTGGAAGTCAAAAACGTGAAGAAGGAGGTGCACGATTCGGAGAGCCACCAGCTGGCCCTGCAGAAGGAAGTTCTCATGTTAAAAGACAAATTGGAGAAGTCAAAGCGAGAGCGGTATGTGTCCGTGCTCTCCTCAGTGTCGCGGGTGCTGGCTTGTGCCCCTGCCCCCCTGGGGGGCTGGCTCACTGGCTTCTGACTCCCTTCTCTCTCACACTTTCCCAGGCACACGGAAATGGAGGAGGCGGTAGGCACAGTAAGAGATAAGTACGAGCGCGAGAGAGCCTTGCTTCTGGAGGAGAACAAGAAGCTCACGGCTGAGAGCGAGAGGGTAATCTGCGCCCCCGCTCGCGGCCGCAGTGTCCTCGGTCACGCGTCCTGGGAGCTTAATGCTTACGGGAAGTCATAGGTTTGATCTTCAGAATGGGGTGTTTCACTGGGTTAAAAGCTGCTAATTACCCCAAACCACCAGCTCTTATCTCTTAGTGTGTTCAGATTTGTATTGAGATGTGACGGAAGTTAGATACACTCGAAAAATCTACATTGAAAACTAAGTTTGGGATAATATCTCGTAACGAGGAAAGCTTTCAGACTCTTGAGAAGAACTTGGGCTGTAACAATGCTGACGTCCTATTTGAAGAGCACCCTTTTAGCTTCTAGCTTTCCACGGAGATCCCCAGAACATACAAAAGGTTAAAATCTTAAAAAAAAAAAAAAAAAAGTTTAAAAGGCACCAAATAACAAGTCGTGTGGTACAATTGTTTAATTTCAGCTTTGTTCCTTTGTGGACAAACTCACAGCTCAAAATAGACAACTGGAGGATGAGCTGCAGGACCTGGCAGCCAAGAGGGAGTCGGTTGCCCACTGGGAAGCTCAGATTGCAGAGATCATTCAGTGGTATGTGCGTGCCCGGCCGCGGTTGTTCCCAGCCCTGCCTGAGCCCGTCGGGCTCTCCTCACCGACGCGGTTTCTCTGAGGCCTCAGCACAGACCTCTCTGCTCTTTCCCCGAATCGCTAAAGTCGAGGGGCAGCAGCTCTGTCCAGTGCTCATCACATTGGACTAAAGGTGGAGAAACCGCACCGAGTCACTGACGGTGTGGGTCAGGCTTGCACGCCCCCTGTGTTCTGGTGAGCGGGAGGCCAGGCCTCCGCACAACTCAGCAGAAGGGACTTGGGGCTGCCCTTGCTAGCAGAGGCATTCGATGGTCGTGGGCGACTGTTCTGGCTGATAGGACACGGCGTCACTCTGTCCCGTGGGAGGCAGGAACCTGTTCTCATTTTCGGCTCCTCTGGCTCACGGGGTATGGTCCTCCTCTAGGGTCAGCGACGAGAAAGATGCCCGAGGTTATCTTCAGGCTCTTGCTTCTAAGATGACCGAAGAGCTCGAGACTCTGAGGAGCTCCAGTCTGGGGTCCAGAGCACTGGTAGGCTTTGTTCTGAACTCTGCATTTTGATGGCGATGGAATTCATTAATGGCTTTCTGTTGAGCACGAGTGCAGCTCAGTGCCAGGCGGGTCTCACTGATGAGGCGGGACTTCCGTGTGGCCAGAGCTGCCCAGTCTGAGGAGCTCAGGGTCTGCGCGTTGCCAGGAGATCACAGCCTCTTCTGATAGCGCACGCTCCCACAGCACGTGATCACCGCGTGCTGGGCTCTGTGGAGGGATCCTCCCCAGGACGGGCTGCTGCCCTCCCGGACACTGGTCCTGTTCATTCTGTCATCCGCCTGGGCAGTGGTCCGTGTGCTTTGAGTGCCGGGAGCGTGGCGAGCTCTGGGCTGAACGCAGCACCGTCTGCGCCCAGGCTCACTTCTGGGCACAGCCACACTCAGCCCTCCTGCTCCCGTTTGCCGTTTGTACGACACCTGTGTACGTGTGTAAGTTACTGTGTGGATAACGTATGCAAGTAACAAGAACGGTCGAGTGGAACAACTCTATTAAAACTTTATCCAGAACTTAATAAACCCAAATTTTCATCCCCGCGTTGTGCTGATTTGAAGGTATATTTACCCGAAAGGGGCAGCACCTTTCAATGTCATTAACCACTCATCCCATCACCCAAGCACCCGGCACATTTCATACTGTCCTGTCAAAGAATACAGCCATGTTCTTTGCTCTTTAATTGGAAAACATGGTTATTTTTAGATTTTAGATTTATAAAAACCAATTCAAATGATCAGATATTTTTTGTTTCTACATTTTCTTTTTTCTTCCAATCATGTTTACATGTATACTCGCACTTATGAACTGCACTGAATAAACTTAGTGCAGAAGCCTTATAAAAGATGAAAGAGGGGCGCCGGGTGGCTCAGTCAGTTAGGCGTCTGCATTCTGCTCAGGGGTCCTGGGATCGAGGCCCGCATCGGGCTCCCTGCTCAGTGGGAAGCCTCCTTCTCCCTCTCCCACTCCCCCTGCTTGTGTTCCTGCTCTCACTGTGTCTCTCTGTCAAATAAATACATACAATCTTAAAAAAAAAGAAAAGATGAAAGAATACAGTCGTAGTCCTTTTAGCAAAATGGATTGATTGAGATTCTTGTCACAGGATATTCCTGTTGGAGGGCTGGATGAAAGTATATTTCCTTTCTGTCCTGAGAAGTGTATTGTTCACCTGTTAAGTCCGTGTACGACGCAGTCATCTGAAGACTCGCTGAGTTTTCTCTCACTTGCTGGATTTCAGTACAGTCGTTAGTGTCTAGATGAAGCGCCACTCTCTCTATCCCTACGCACCTGCACTGGGTTATCTTTCTTCTCTTTACTGTGTGGACGGAAAATGAAAAATCCTGTGTTAAAACTTTAAAAAGGCCTATCAAAGTGGTATCCCCAGACTTCTGTCCCTCTTGAAAGCGGATGGACTACATCGGGCTCAGCAGGAATAGGACACTGTCATCAGGCTGGCTTCATTAAGTTACCCCATCCCTCCCCCTCCCCTTTGTTACTGTAGTCTTTCATCCTCGGTAGGAATGACCGGTGAGTACTGATGTAATCTCTAAGAGTGAAATGGCAGAATGTCTCCAGATAAAGGAAAAGTAAGACAGCTGAGACCTCGCGATATATCTTAGGTTTGTAAGAGAGTCTAGTGGGCTCAAATAGAAATTACACTTGAGTTTCAGTTTTATTCTTTTAAAAAATAAGAAAAGGTACATCTCATTCTTTACAAGATATCTAAGAATAAAAGTCACAAAATGCCCAAACTAAAACTGGGTCTGATGGACTTTGATAATATCTAACAGTATCAAATTAATATGTAAATTAATTAATATTTAAATGATAATAAAAGTTTTAGAAAAAAGATGAAGTACCTGCCAGCATTTTGTTTAACAAATAAATAGCTTAACAGCGTATCTGCAATATTTCATCTGTAGGATCCCCTTTGGAAGGTTCGCCGGAGTCAGAAGCTGGACATGTCTGCGCGGCTAGAATTGCAGTCCGCTCTTGAGGCAGAGATCCGGGCCAAACAGCTTGTTCAGGAGGAGCTGAGGAAAGTCAAAGACACGAATCTCTCCTTTGAAAGGTACCTGGCGCTGTGGTCCGACCGTGCGGGGGGCTGTGTGACCTTGGGCACGCCCCTGTCCTGTGACATAGTTGACTGAAGGAGCTTTGAGCGGTGGGACTTTCTGGGCACCTAGTAGGTGCTCAGTAAGAATCGATTGGACGAATGTGCAAATGCCCTTCACCTACTGGAGGGTTATGTTAGTGTTTCCAAGGAATAACGAGAGTGGTATGAGTCCACAGTTCTGAAGGGTCAGTGTCTGTGTGTGTAGAGGGCGATGCTTGTCTTCCCCGTGCTGGGTGACAGGACATGGCCACACATCTGGTGGGTACCTCTCTGGGCTTCTTTTTCACCTTAGTGCTATTCAGTTCATCAGCTTCGAATTTTTCCTTTTAACCTGAAACTTACTTTAAAATATAGGTGGAAGGTGGTATGCCTATTTGAAAGCTCTTTTCCAACCTCATACAGTCGTAAGAACACCATTTACACACGAGAGTAAAGTCAGCCAGTGTGTGATGAGGGGCTGCCACCAGCAGATGCTGCCTGACGTGCCCAGGACACAGTAGTGACCCGCTCGCGGCTTCGTAAAAACCAGGCCTCCCGACTTGTAGTAGTGGCAGTTGATGTGGAAGGTGGGGCAGGCTCCTCCCTGGAGGGGGTGGGCACCTGGGTGTCACTAAGGATGTCACTGACAGGATTACCGAGTCACACGTTCCGTTGGTTTGGAGCTAGAAGAGTAATAACAGCTACCATTTAAATAATGCTCCCTGTAAGCAATGCTGTTAACGATGTGACCCTTCCAGTGTTCCCGGGAGGCCGGCAGTCTTGCAACCCCATTTTACAGATGATGAGACAGGCAGAGGTGTGGTGGGCCAGCCAGCGCTCCCCGCTAGTTCAATGCAGACCCCCGCTCCGCTGCTGGACTGTACCGGGCGCCTCCTGGCCAGACATTAACCACCGCGGTCTGACTGCTGTGTCGCCCCGTGACCGCGTGGGAGCCCCAAGACCCCCAGTGCTTGGGCAGCGGTCATGGTCTCAGGTGCAGCCCGCCATCTTGCCAGCTATGAGAAAGACGTTTAGAGGTCGTGTGTCCTCGGAGGACAAAGGACTCCTCTGGAAAGAAACTAGGAGTGTCAGAAACTCCATGACGGCCTCAAGAGATACACCTGCATTAACCATGATTTTTAAAATCCGTGTCTGTTTATAATTGGGAAGTATCCATGTTTCCCATAACATACTCAGTAGGCACACCCAGGCCAAGAGGGGATCTGTGTTTCTGTTCAGCGGAGAGCCTGCCGTGTTCCAGCACTTTCCTAGGCACTGGAGACGAGCCCCTGCCCTCACATTCTGACACTTGCTAAGTGAACATGTGGATGATCTATTCTCAGTGTGCTTAAAGCCATTTGTTTTTTGTTTTTTATTTTAGTAAACTAAAGGATTCCGAAGCCAAAAATAGAGAATTATTAGAAGAAATGGAAATTTTGAAGAAAAAGATGGAAGAAAAATTTAGAGCAGATACTGGTAAATTAAAATTACAAGCTTCTGAATTATTTATTTTTTTTTTAAAGATTTTATTTATTTATTTGAGAGAGAGA